CGGAAGTGAGGCAGTTGCCCAATCAGGACTCGTCCTCGGCACCTTCGTCATCGATTGGCTCCTTGGTCTCTCCAGGGACAGTCAAATAGGGGAGGGTGAGCGCAGGACGGGGATATTAAATAGTAATTTCTATTACAAGAGGTAAATTCGTACACAAAAACCGACTGCCCACGAGGACTTTGGACTCAGCTCTATGGCAGCATAGAACGTGTGTGCTTTTGGTCCGTAAGTAGACCGATGAAGGACCAGTTAACCTCTCCAATTACAAGTTATCATGGCTCAAGTACCGGGTCGTCCGAGCTTAGGGGTGGTATACGGCGGCCGTCGATAGTCCAGAAATTGCTCTTCCGGTCCCTCTTGTTTTTGCAGATGTTAATTGCAATAAAAATTTAAGAAATGAACGAACACGGGCGTTCCTGTGTGCGTTTGCTCAAACACGAAGTGTAGTAAGACTAGGTGAGTTGAAAAGAAGACGAATCGATCGCTGAGATAATACTTATATTCGCCTGACGTTTCGATATCCGTCCCGGATTCAGCATCAGAGACATTAGCAGAAAACGATAGCAGACCCACTAGGTAAGTTGGTATAGATGAAGTAAAGAGTGGAGTTGATGAAGAAAGTAGAAAAAAGCTCGAAAAAAATCAGAAAAGCTATTTTTTGCCACTTATCAAGCCGAATTCAAGGCATCTTTTGTGCATTGAGCCACTTCCTTTACTTTACATTTTTGATTAGTCCCGACTGGGGTAACAGTTTACAGCATTGCCCTGCTGGTCTTTTATTTATATGGGATTTACATAAAGGTAGTAGACCCCAATTCTCTTGCAAGCATTTAATATTGCTTCCAGGTAAATCGGCGTTAGTCTATGACACATTTACCAATAGGTTGACCAAATTCTAACCTATTTAACACTAGTTGAATAGTATACAGGTCATAGTTCAATTTACATCGCATGCACTTGAACTAGCTTTAATTACATAACAACTCTCTGTGGGCAAGCATGCTCCATAACCCAACTAATAGTGACCGCTACTTGTAATTTGACTTCAGCCATTGCGTTCAAACGGAGAGAGGAATTACAAATTGTCTCATCACAATAACTGCGCGATTAGGTTCTACACACACGAACAAAAAAACGTGAAAAGAAATAAAGATTCTATGTGGCATATGTCTGAAAGTTTTTACCTCTCAAATTTTTTTTGGGACTGCATACATGTCTCCATCTTGACCTGTCAAACTCCGAATCACCGTGGATATAACCAAGGGGCATGACGTTCCATGCCGCGATCACTGGATTATTCATACTTTAGGCGCCACCTAAGCTATCTGCTCTGTGGGTAAGACAACACGACTTCGACCCAGCCAAGGACACACGACCTCTCCGCCCCTGCGTTTTCAGACTTCTAAACTGCTCACGTGTTATTATTATTTTGAAAAGTTAATTTGTTAGGCAAAGTATACTTTTCGGCAAATCATC